ACTAATCGCAAAAATAATCGGTGACTAGTCGACTATCAAAATAATCGTTTGTGGCAGCCCTAATACACACATTACAAAGCTTCACCAAGGGTTCGAGCATCGTGGCAAAAACGAAAGGAATCAGTTTGTTGTTGATGCTCACAAAGTAGAAGATGGATATGCAAATTTATCCCAGCATTTCAGTAAGTGTCAGGAATAATAATTTCTCACTCCTCACACGACAAGGATGTTGTCAGTGACACCTTGCCTCATCCTATTATGTGACCTATTAAAGTAAACTGACGCAATATTTTGGGGGAGCTTGCAAAGGACCTCAAGACTGCACTGTAGGTGGCCAACAGCTGGTGTCAGTACCCAGCCACTCTGTTCGATGATTGTTATTCACAGTGGACACAGATGGCCCTTTTTTCTCCTCTTTCAAATCTTCTGTCTTTGAGTTCCAAAATGTGAACATTGGTATCCTCGAAAGAGTGACCTTTATCCTTTAGGTGCAGGTGTGCAGCTGAGTCTTGTCCTAAGGACTTAAGAAAATCTCCGGCACTGCCAGAGCAGTCTACTCTGAACGTGAAGCCAAACTGAAATCAGATGTTTTTAAAATTTTTTTAGTTGAGGAATATTGCGATCCGACAGATTGTTGAGTGCTCTACCTTCAGCCACTCTGTCGAGCATAACGGTGACCTTCTCGTCTTCACAAACTCGCCGTTTGAGGAAGCTTATGAAGATGCCATTTGACACGTCTTCCCTCTTCACCTCATACGCTTCAGCGTCTACGCATCTAAAAGACAGCAACTTTCACGTGAGTTTGACCTTGTAGCCTGAAGTAGAAATACACAATAAGTGCTAGAAAACAACACCCGATACTGAAGAAATTCAAAACTGAACCGCATTTAGGACTGGGAACTTACGTGGCATAACCAAACACTATATTTGCTGTGACCTTCAGCAGTCCAGGCTGCACGATGACATCATCGTGTGGGTTTCTGAAAAAGAAAACGCACGAACAGATTCAGAGGGTCTGCTCTGATTATAATTTCATTAAATAATAGAAAACAACAAAACATACCTTTTGCGACACATGTCCAGCAGGAATACATTAAGACCGGTCTTCTTCTCCTGCATCTTTGTGAGTATATTCTGTACACACAAGCAGTGCTCTGATGTGTAGGAGACCGGCGCGTCAATGGGAACCATGAAGCTGTTTCCGTAGTTCTCATAGCCGTGACCAGCAAAATATAGCAAACCTTCAGAAGTAAAGAAAAACAGATGCAATTATTTATCCTAGTTGTATTCTCCATC